ATCAGAAGCAGCTCATAAATTGTGTTAAACTGTAATCGTTTGACGGTTCTATTGAAATGTCAGTGGATGGATGCCAGTGGATGCTATATTGCCCAGGGCCATCCATTGCAGAACCGAGCGATGTGCGGGTGCGTGGCTAATTGCTGGTCTTTGGCCAAAAGTCTTTGTTGTGCACATTTTCACATCGTTAACAGTATGTTTATTTGTCTTAAGCTTTGCCCAGGGATTATTTTTGTTTCTCTCTGTCCGTTTTTTCTTGTAAAGAGCCTTGGCACAGGCCCGTGCGCGGGAATTTGCATACATTTACAAAAGCCCAGAGATTAACAAAAATATGTTTGGTAATGATTTGATTGTGGGCTTTAGCAAACTGCGATTTGTCATTGCCATTGTGCGAAATCAAAAATACAAAAAATATACAAAACTGTTATATATTTGTAACTGTTATATATAACTGCAGTGATTCAATTGGTAGCGTGTCATACCATCGAGCTACTTGTCGCCTGTGGAATTTAGCTTTGGAATGGAAATGGCTGTTAATAAGCAAATGTAATGTGTGAAAATTTCACACAGTCAGTTCTTGGCCGCAACCGCAAGCCATTTACAAGACAAGTTAATTGTGCTGCTGCTGCTGCTTATGGCTTACGGGCACCAGTAGCCATGGCCAAGCCTAGCTAATTGGGACAATAGGCAAATGCACTTTATGGATGATGGACCCAGTTCCGCCTTGCTTCGATGGTGTTGTGCAACAGCACGATAACAATTTTTGGCACGCAATTCAAATGAGCAACAAGGAGATTGCTGGGACCAGATACCAGATACCGGTGCTGCATGTGGAACTACCGGCAGGTTATAATCTAATTAAGGCACAACCCGTGTGCCGCAGCCAGCGCCAGAGCCAGAGCCGATGAAGCAGATCTTCTGTATCTGTGTATACTTATTCTTCTCACGCCCAAAATGTAAATGAAGTTATCCGGGTGTGTCAGTGGAGTCAGTAGTAAGGGGGCAGGGGATGTTGGGCCAAGAGCCACTTGGCTAATGCCAAGCCAAGTCAGGCACCAACAGAGGCGGCAACGATGAAAACTACGGAGCTTTACATGCCTCGCTGGCTACAACGATTTGGTGCTAGTGTGAAAATCTTGTTTCTGTTTCTTTTTCTTATATTTTGTATGAATATTTTTCAACACTCATTCATAAAGTCTGTCATTGTCCGTGTGTGTGCGCATTGTTAGCTACTAGAGATTTTGGGGGTGCGCAGGGGATTGATGATTGCAACGCTTTCCCGATTTCATTCATTAAAGTCTGCGATTTATGGTGCAATCGTCATGGGGGGTGCGAGGGGAAAACAATGAGCGAGTCATTTGAACAAACGGCACGGCAAAGAAAACTTTTCTTCACCCGCTGATCTCTGACATTTTACGACCCGACGCCTCCCATTGCCTAATCGCGATAATCGATATAAGAGTCAATAAATAAGCCACAAGGTCGCCAAGTCCCTCACTCATAGAAATGATCATAACCATAGACATGATCGGGCATGCTCGCATCAATTGTCTGGCCGCCTGCCTCATTATCGTATCTGGCTTGGCGTGAATGGAAAGCATTAAGTTATTTCCCAGCCAAACACCAGACAACAGACATTATGGCCGATATATGGATTTAGAGTCTACAGTCTACAGTCCATTTATTTGGTCCAAATTAACACACAGGCGCTCGCTGGGTTGGTGAAAATCCACATAAAGTGCTTAAACTGGTCATTAAATGCTGCCCAGGCATTTGGCTGCGATTATACGAAACACTTGCGGGGCTGCTCTACCAATATTAAAAACCAGGAAAAGGCCCAAAATCATATAACAATGCAAGTCAAAAGTCAGGCAAAGCCAAAGATTCCCCTCCCCCTCTCGGCCCTCCCTGCCAGCCAGACATCATGTAATCTCAGCCATCGACCGACCGACCATCTACAATCTCTCATGGAAATCCTCTACAGTTTAGTGGTCCTGGACGCTATACTTTGGCCAAGCTCATTAGCAAATTATTTTGGTGTTTGCATGGGGGGGCCACGCTTCAATGGAACCGAAAGACCCAACCCGGAGACGGAGACGGACACAGACAGACAGACGGACAGGGATTGTCGCTCGCGTAGATCACGAAATATTTATGGCATATGCATGAGTAGTTCCCAAAACGTTTTTCCATTTACCATTTGGAGCAATTTAATTGTATTTAAATGAGTTAGAATGCACTTTTCAATTTTATTTCGCCATCTACTCTAAAAGTTTTTTTTATGATTCATAAATTGTTCGTTGTGACGTTTATAGTCAGTCGGGCAGGCAGGTCTGGAAACGTAAGTGCTAGATACAAATCTCTGTTTACTGTCTAGACGTACAGCTACGATAGGATATCTGAGTAGAAGGCATTTATTTGCAGGTGACAAGCAGATGTTTATGTGACAAGTAAAGAATTGGGAGCCATAACCATGGTGTAATGGTAGCGAATGTGTCTTGTTAGCTGAGGACTTTTTGGGCTGCTTTTATTCATGGACTATTGCATGTCAAACACCATAAATTAGTGCTTGGGAGATCTAACTATGTAAGCAAGGTATCAAATTAATGGAGAAAGGGAACTATAAAATTCGGAATTAAAAGAGAATATAATATATCCTCCTTTATTGCTATTTGTGCTTTTGGCAGCAATTCCAATTAGCTTTTGGCAGAGTATTGGTTATCGCATTGCAGTTACGATCAACTGTTGAGGATACATCCGAACTATGTAGTTGGCATGTCGGAGCATTGAGTTATGGCTGCACTGTGAGCCTAGCTACTGGATACTCGTAAGACTGGTGTAGTTCAACGGAATGGCATTTTAATTGTCAGCTGTAGCTGGTAGGATTACACATTATTTATACAGATTACTGGCATTAACTTTTACCCTGTCATATGGCAATTTTAACTACAGCCTGGCGATACATTTTCTTGTTGATTTGGCGTGTGTGTTGTGGTTGTTGCTGTATCTTCACAGGTCACCCCACGAGACGATTCGATTGTGCAATTTCATTGTCCAACAACTTTTCATTAACAACAACGGCGGCAGTGGCAGTGTCAGAGGCAACATGTGGCAGTGGCACACAGTTAGAAAAAAAACGTCAAAACGTATCCACACAGTTGCCAATTAAGATCTCAGCAAATGTTTTCGGTCAACGGAGAGTCCGAATAGAAGAATATCAGAAGCATAAACCAAATGTTAAGGTTGACTCTGTCCGATTTCTGTCTGAATTGATACACATAAAATTTGGAGCAGGCAAAAACCTGCAGCAGCAGCAGCAGCAGCAGCAGCAGCGAATGTGGATGTGGATGGAGAATTGCTGAATGCAAATGCCAAAATGTGAACTGAACTGCCAGTTAAGAGCTTGAGAGCATCACCATCATCAGCATCCACGTCATGATCAGCATTGATTTAAGTGGAGTCAACTGGAAATTGTTGCATTTCTGGTTGCAGCTTCAACAAAAAGCAGCAGCGGCAGCAGCAGCAGCAGCAGCAAAAAGCACTTGAAATTAAAAGCAGCTGAAAGAAAAAAACAGAAACTAATACAATAATAAATAGTAGTAAAAGAAAAGAAGATGTTGCCACTGCAACTGCTGATGGAATCGTCTGCTGTGTCTGCTGCTGCTGCTGCTGCAGTTGTCGACTTGCATGCCATGCAACAATTTCACAAGCGGCACGCAGACAACTAAATGACAATGTGAACAAAATAACAACAGCAGCAGCATCATCGTTGGCAGCGGCAGCCAGGAGAATTTATAATAAGTAACTCTCTTGCTGCCGTTGCTGTTGCTGTTGTTGCTGTTGTTGCACCAACTCTGATCAGTGTTGCGCAAAAAAAGAAAAAAACCAAAGAGACAAAGCTGCAGCCGCAAATCCTCCACTTAATTATAAACTTATTTATTTGGTTAGTTTGCAGCCAAACTGTCCTAATCAATTTGCTAAGGATGAGGAAATGGCAGCCAGTGAGCTTGCAACAGCAACGCCAATTTCCACGGGATTTCCTCAGCGCCAAATTTCACAGCTACCGTGTTAACTTTGACACCACCAACGCAGATCCGTAAGCGAAACCAAAACCGAATCCAAACCCAAAAGGAGACCAATCCATGGATATGGCATTAGCATTAGGTAAGCTGCTCAATTAACTCGCACGGCAATTGCCCAAATTGGCCACCGACTTGACTCCGTCCGTCAGATCGGAGATCGAAATTGATGCTGCCAGCCAGCACTCTGCCAGGGGTTAAGTGTAGCTGCCCACGCATGCGCTGAAATGTTAATTCTTTATATTCAATCCTCGACACTGCCAGCACACAGTGGTGTGAATCAGAGCAAGCAAACCGAAATTGCTGAATAAACTTATGGCAGTGGCAGACTTCCTCAGGTTCTTCCTTCAACCTCAAGCGAAAGTAGATTAAATATAGTACAATTATTTCTTAGGAATACATTTCGTTTCCTGCTTCCATGCCATCCCTTGTCAACATATCCATGCCACACTGTGCCTGCCTTCCTGGCAATTGCAAATGTCAAATGAAAGACTTAGGCAGCGAACTTGCTCGCAGGGGCAGCTGCTAAGACCGAGGCTTGGGCTTAAGCATATTAAATATGCAATGCTAATGCAAATGGATACTCGCATCCGAATCGAAAAACGCTTGTTAAAAGTAATGCGCCCAATTTGCAATGGCAATCCGTATAGAAGCCCCAGCAACAGCAAAAAATAAAGGAAAGACCAAAGCCAAAGCCAAAACAAAAACAAAAACAAAAGTGCCCTTTAGCCTCGACCAGCCCAAATAGCCATGGCCGGCAGCCGTCGTTTTCGACGTACTCTTCTGGGCGTGCGAGGAGTGTGTGCAGAGCGTGAGAGANGGGGGGGGGGGGGGGGGGGGGGGGGGGGGGGGGAGGGAGGGGGGGGGGGGGGGGGGGGGCGATAGAGGGTGGGCGGGCAATTTAGTGTCACGTTAGCATTTTGGGGCGCTTCCAGGCGGCAGGCAAATGCCCGAGCCTTGCCATTAGGCGTGCGCTTAACTAGCGGTTAGCCACCGACAGAGCCGTCAACGTTCAATTGGCCCCCTGAAAACGGAATCGCAGACGAAGTCGGAGTGGGAGTTAGACTCGGCTTCGGATTCCGATTCAAAGTGGAGGAGCAGCAGACGATGCTGAGGCTGGGGCAGACAAACCTTTCTCTTTGTGTTGGTGCTGGTTGGTTTGGTTGGATGGCTGGCTGGCTGGCTGGCTGGCTGGCTGGCTGGCTGATCTGGCCTGGCCTGGCACGGCACGACGAGCCGCAAAGGTCGGCCGCAGTGCTCGGTTCGGCACTCGGCCCAGACGAGTCTCGGCCACGGGGTTTTATAAATACAAGTGTTGGCCGCACAACGGCAAAGATTCGTTGCTTGAACGTACAGCGCGCGCGATCCATTAAATTCCCAACCGACTCGTCTCGACTCGCTTTGACTCTCCTTGCAGGAAAGACACGGTAAAGCCTTCATTCATCCATCCATCATTATCTTTGGAGTGTTACTAAATTTCGCGCCAAAGCAAAAATATGTTACAAGACGCATCCAAGGATTACGGGATACGAGTGCCAATTGAGAATTAGATTGAAGCTACTCGCAATTCGGATGCAAATTTAAATTCAGTTTCGCTTACGGTTTTGCAATGTTGTGTTGGATTTGTGTCGAATCTTCAATTATATAACTGAAAATAATAATCGCCGTCTCTGTGTCGTGTTTTTCTTTCGTTTCGTTTGTTGCAGCCGGCAAATGCTCAATGCAGATGCAGCAGATGCAGCCATCGCAATACCCTGACTGCCTGACTGTCTGACTGCCTGACAAGGAAACAGCCGAAAAGCAACAACTGAAAAATAACCCAAGTGACTGTGAAAGTAACCAACGGGCAGATCCAGATACAAGATATTCAATTACTAGTCTCTTTGGCATTGCCTAGGGTCTGTTATTTTGTATTGTTGTTGTCGTTGGCGGTGTGGGCTGTTGTGTCGTAGTGCTGGCACACCATGAGGATTCAAATATGGATCCTAACACTTTTGCTGGGTGAGTTAAACGTTTAAACTGTTTGAAAAAGAAATGGGTGATGAAAATGTTCGACATTTATGTTGAATGTCATTAAAGGGTTTTGGAAATAGGTTTTTTAAGAATTATAAAAGAAGTATTAGTATACAGAAGTGATTCAAGTTTCTCTTTAAAGCGGAAAACTAGAAAAAATGTGGGTTTTAGTTGTAAAAAGAGTTTTAAATATATATAGAAATTATTAATATAATTCCATTACTATGATTTAAAAGCTTTAAACAATTTCACAAAAATAAAAACAACTTCCCAAATACCAAAAATAAATATTCCACAAATTAAAATATAGAATAGATCGTTAAAATAAATCTTTTCATGCGATAACCATAAACATGCATCAATGTGTATATTATATAATCGTGGACTACTTGATTATCACTCACATTAAACACCCAATAAATGCCAAAGAGCAACCATAACATAAAATATTCCCATGATATTCACACTTGTTCCATCTAACAATTCTGTGTCTACTCCTAGGCCTCCTATGCGCCCAAGCACTGGAAACGAAAGCTAAAAGCGACAGCAGCAGCATTGACGATAGCAAGAGCGCCGCCTCCACGCCTCTGGAGTCGGAGGCGTCTAAGGACAAGCGCCAGGTGAGCAGCAAGGAGACGCCCCTTTATCCCAATCACAGAAGCTCGGATGCAACGGTGGCTGACGATCCCGAGGACGGACAGGAGACCATTTATGGCACGAAGCCGAATCAGTTCATCATACGACCCATTGCCCCGCATCAGCATCAGCAGCACGAGGGGCACGAGGGGCCTCAGCTGCGGAACTTTGCGGCGGCCAACTCCAGGCCGCATGCTGCCCAACTGCTGGAGCAGAGTCAAGAGGTGAGGGTGAGTGGGGAAGGCTATTGATTGATGGCGTTTTGGCTATGAGGGACTGTTTCGCTGTTCATTTCTTTGTTTGCTTTGTGCAAATCGAGGGGCGTTTCATCATGTCGCTGCTTGGCCCCTGCGGCCATCAGACATCGGAGATCGGACGACCTGGCTTCGTGACTGGGAATCGGTTGCAGTTACACGATTCTTTGCAAAATGCCGGATGTAAAACATCTGAAGCCACATCAGGCCACAGTTTGTCCCAGTACCCCAGTCACAAAATGCCAGAGACAAGACCCAAGCCCCAGATAAATTGTCAAATTCTCCCTTTCGCCGAGGCCGAGAAACCTTGACCAATATCTCCCTGTGGCCCAAAGGTTTTTATACTTATTCGGAACAAATTGCAATAGAGACAGAGCCCAGACAAAGACAATTACAATTAGGCAAAGACAATGAATGTTTCTATTACAAAATGTATAGAAATTAAATGTGCACTGTACTGCCAAATATAATAATAATAATAATAATATGATTATTATAAATGAAATCGGCAGAACTAAGTCACGACATGACATGGCGACAGCCATCGTCGCAGTAACAAATTATAATTGCAACATTATGTTATCTTTTTTGTATTACGCGTTAAATAACGAATTCCACTCCATTCCCTTTCCATTTCCCACCCGCAATCATTTCCACGTTTCCGTCTACATCTTTTGCTGCTGCTTCTTCCATGGCTTCTTCTTTTTTTGCTACTTCTTATGTTTCTTCTGCTCCATCATTCGCGACAGCGACACAATGGCAGCGCGGCTCTGCGCTGCAGCTTTGAGTGGTCGTGGGAAGAAAGTTGACATAATGTTATAATCACCCCCACTTTTGGTCTGGTCTGCCTCTTTTTCTGTGGTTGATGTGGTGGTGGCGCCTTGAATTGCTGGCGGCGCTGCTTTTATTTGCCATAATAATGTGAATTACACGCTAGCAAACACTATGCAGCAGGTTCACAATAGATTCGAACTGTTTCAAGCTTCACTCCTTCCTTGCAGTTAAACTGTATTACTGTTATACTTGACTTCCCTATTCTAATACACACTGGTATACAAGAGGAACTGTTGCCGTTTTTGCACACTATTCTTTTAAGCCTTTTAGGTGGCTTATAAATCTGGATCGAACTGCATTATATGTACGTACACATATGAAAATCTTTTGTTGCACAGTGTAACTGTTGTTGTCCTATGTTGGTCACAGATTGCAACACACCGCCATAGTGCTGCGGTTGTTGTTCGTCCGTGTTGGCGTTGCCAAAGTCTTGCCGCAAGTGTTATATAAACATATTTTTTAGATACCACGCCATTCTCACAACGTCTGTGACTGTGAAGCACCTGCCATGTGGTGGCTGCCACCGCAGTTTCTGTTTTTGTTGCTGGCTCCACATTAAACAGCCGCTGACATTGGCCGCCGCTGGCTGAATGTTTACGGTTCACACACCCACAGCAGCCCACAGTATAAAATCCATAATTACCCGTCTCTCTCTTCTTGCCACTGAAGGTGCAGCATTATGTATACCTGCAAGATATTATGCGCCATCACCAGCCCAAGGCCCTGGGGGCTGCAGGTCAAGGCAAGGGTGCGGCCAGCAACCCAAAGAAGTCATCCACACCCGTCGCTGAGGAGGAACAGGAGCAGGAGGCGGAGCAGCGCTATGCCGTGTCCATTCAGCCACAACCGCAGCTGCAGCAACGCCCGCGTCCATATCCCGGAGTGGGTCCCTACCAGCTGCCACTGCCACTTCCCGCTCCACAGCACCAGCAGGGACATCAACAACAGCAACAACAGCAACAACAGCAGCAGCACCAAGGCCAGCAGCCGTATCAGGTCATACCCGAGGAACAGTTTCTGAAACTGCTGGAGGAAGAGCTGCAGGCGAGAGCCTACCACGAGCAACTGCGTCAACAGCAACAGCAACAGCAGCATCAGCAACAACAACAGCAGCAACAACAGCATCCACAGCAGCACAAGCAACTGTCCATCCACAGCACGGCGGCCACCCACAAGGTGCTGCAGCAAGCGGATCCGTCTCTGGGCTTGGGTGGCTATCGCGAACGTTTGGTGGCCGAGCAGGAGCTTGTGTCGCCTGCCTACTCACAATCCCACTCCCGTGGCGGTCCCAAGTATCTGCCGGTGTCACAGGCACAGCAGTACGAGGAGGAGGAGTTGGCACAGCAGCAGCAGCAACAACAGCAACAGCAGCAGCAGCAGGCTCAGCGAAGTCATCTGCACAAGGCTATACACCACCATGGCCAGCCGCATCAGCAGCAGTTAATCTCTGGGGTTCCCCCACAAATTGCCTACTACCAGCCGCAGATCAGCTACAAGACCCTGCCCAACCATCCGCTGGCCAAGTCGTCGCTGGAGAGCGAGATTGAGAAACTGCTGGCCGCCAACAAGCCAGGACCGGCCGTTGCCTACGTCGACAGCAGCAATGAGCCGAGCTACAGCCACCAGCAACCATCGGCACGCCACCCGCTGCCTTTGCAGCATCCGCCACCGCCCACCTCGCACCCGGCACTGCGCCAACCCAAGGCCTACCTGGCCAGCACACCCAACTCCCTGTTGGATGCCAACAACCAGCCCTTTGTCCCGTCCCTCTTCAAGTTCAGCAACTACCAGCAGCCAACGCCCATCTATCCCACTCAGGCTGCACCCATTCGCGAGGCCAAGAGGCTAGGACCCGTTGTGTACCCCACGCAGACAGCCAACCAGCCACAGCCCTCGCAGTATTACTACCAGGAGACGGCCCCCACAGCCGGTCCCAAGCCATCCCCGCACCCTAAGCCCTACCTCCGAGCCAAGCACTATAAACTGGCCGAGCCCTCGAAGGGTGTCTATGCAGACTACGATCGCAGCCAGGGACCAGCACCACCGCAGTCGGCTTCCTCCAGCTTCTATCCCAGTCCGCCGGATCCGATAAAGCACAACCAGAGAGCTCTGGGAGTCACACCCACATCCTTGCCACTGCCAGACTATCCCTCGCCGTCGCCCTCGCAGTCCAGCATCTATGTGTCGCAGGGCACTGGAATCGCCACCCCTTCCCGACCTACGCCCACCGGAACGTCGGTGCAGAAGCTGCGAACGCTGGACGAAGTGAAGCAATTGAATCTGCCGCCCCCTAATGGAAAGCCCCTCACACAGGCCGAGTTCCAGGCGCTGGTCGATGCTGGGTACCCGGTGAAGGCGGTGCCAGTGCCAGTGCCCGTCCCATATGAGCAGTATGTCAAGGATCATCCCGAGTATCGCAATCATCCGCCAGTAGACTATGCCCACCTCATGCGACTAGCCACGCGACAGTTGGCCGGCCAACAGCAGCATCAGCATCATCATCATCGCTCGTTGGCCGCCCCATCGGAGCCGTCGGTGAAGATTATTTCCTCTCCCACGGCCAGCGAACTACAGCAGCAGCATCAGACGGCAACAGGCATAGGCGGCGGCAGTGTCACCTACTTGCAGCCCATCGAGGGACAACAAGCTCATCTGCATGCCCACGCTCACGCACTGCAGAAGCGGCGTCCGAGAGATGAGCAGGACACGGCCGTGGCGGGCAGTGAGACCAAGGCGACGGCACCAGAGGCGGAGGCTCAGAAGGCTCAATGAGCCAGGGGATGAGAGTCCTGTTTTAGTTAAAATGTCCTTGTCTAGTTTGTAAGTATTGTAAAAATGTTTCAGCACTTGCGCAATGTTAAATTATAAAAATAAAACAAAAAAAATACGGAAACCAAACGAAAGGAGGAGCGCGTTGACAATTACTTAACATAACATATTAATCTGATTTCTGATATAATGACTTTAAACTTTATCAAGAATTGTTCTTAAGAAGTGTTCTCATAGTTCCTATTGTTGGGGTTTCTGCTTCCCTCACTTAGTTTGGGCCGAATCCCGAATTGCTGTTACTGTTGCTGGTGTCCGCCGAACTGAGAGTGTCCGGCGTGGCCGTTTCCTTTGTCTGCAGACGGGAGATTTGTGGATCACGCTTATCCTTGTCCTTGTCTTTGTCCTTGCGGTCTCGCTCCTTTTCCTTGCTGTGCTTGTGCTTGTGCTTATGCTTGTGCTTCTTTTTGTCCTTCTTCTTTTTCTTCTTGACAAGGCCATCGCTCGGCTTGAACTTGCCCTCGTCGTAGCTGCTCTCGTAACGCATCGACTCCGCCATGTCGAGCACCGTCATCGAGTTACCGTCATCGTCCTCCGCAAAGACCTCCGTCTTGATGCGCTTGCTTATGTGCCCGTCGCCGGAACCCTCATCCGCTGGCTGTACTTTCACTTTGGTCTCACTGTCGTAGGCCTGCGTATGGGATGGATCGTCCACCACTGTAACCACCTCGCTGTGCTCCACCTCCAGCTTGATGATCTCATCGCCCACAGCAAAGGCTTCGGTGGCCGTTCGTTTAATGGTGACCATGGCAGGCTTATGCCGCTCATTGGGTTCGGTTTTTACGTTATCCCCCAAGGATTGGGATTGCTTGGTGTCGCTGAGCTTCTTGAAGCTCGGTCCGCTGCTAGCACCTTCCTTGAGGAGGTCCTTGTAGAAGCTTTGATTCTCGCTGGCCTGAAGGCAGTTTGGACGCTTGCTGCCGTACAGCGCATAGTAGAGATCGACAGTGTCACAGCGCAGCTTGGTGTTGCCATGTTCCTTGGTGTTTATCCGCTCCCAAAGTCGTTCGACCAGACTGGGATTGTCTAAGGCGCTCTTCTTGATCTCACGCGTAAAGGGAGGATTATCGATGAGCAGCTGGGCCAAAGCATGACGGGCAGCCGGATCAGGATCCGTCTCTAGCAGGTTGATCAAATGATCAAGGTCCTCGCTGCGTCCATCCACTTTCACAAAGTCCACCAAGCACTCCATGGCAGCGATACGCAAATCCAAAAAGACACCATATGCCGCATATCTGTGGTAGAAGTTTGGCAGCGACGGCAGATGTCCAAACTTTTGCAGCTTTCGAATGACCTTTAAGCAGGAGACGGACACGACATACTTATAAGACGGCAAACTCTTCTCCATATTCAGCAGGCGAGTCATTTCATCCAGCACCAGTCTAAAGAGAAGAATTGAAATGAAAGAAATCTCTCAAGAGCAGCAGGCTCAGCTTCTTACTTGGCATCTGTGGACAGGCTGTCGGGTGTGATCTGTGTGCCGTGCATTGACACAGAAACCACAGGCGTCAGTGTCTCGCCCAAGGCCTCCACTAAAGCAGCTCTGTAGTACGCATCCGTGTAATGATTGCGCGAGTTCTCGTTGTACTTGAAGAGATCGAAGAGGAAGCGCATCACTTCTGGCGGACAAATGCCATGCGAGGTGCGCAGACCTGTCAGAAAACATAATTCAATTAAGCATCAACAAAGAACTCAGTACGCAAGAACACCCACCTGCCATGGCCACTGGAATTGCCTTTTGGAGAAAATACAATTGAAAATTGGAGAAATTGTTCAACTTGATTATGTGCGGGGCACTGAAGGAGCCAAAGAATTTTCTGAATATGTTCAGCATGGCTGGTGGGCCGCTCCACGAGGCCACCATCTGATTGGCCACTTTGGTGAGGCTGTGCGCCGCCTGTACCCGCACCCTGTAGAAGCAACGTTCGCTCTCAATGGTGTCTGTGAGGGCAAGTCGCGTGGCGTTTGTCGGGTACTGCTGCAGCGCCTGGATGGCCTGGAATTGGGCCGTGACATCGCGCTCATGTCGCAGCTGGTATTGCCACTGAAAGTCGGGCTGCTCGATGATCAGATCCCGCAGCAGAATCATTTCCGGATCAAGACGTATCCACAGCACAGGCGAGTCGCTAGATACACAAAGCATTAGGCATAAATATTGTGTGGAAATGTGTCTCGAGACTTACTCCATGGCAGAGAGATCCATGTCCACCTCTTCGCCAGTGGATAGAGGGATTTTCTTTTTCTTGTTTCGCCTGCTCTTTGAGTGGCAGGTAATGTCCGCTTTGACCAGAGTGTTCTCGATCTGCAGCGTGTGCTTGAATGTACCATCCAGCTCCTGCAATTGCACCAGCAACGGACCATTGTACTTCCTCACGCCACGATGGTTGACAAAGTCCTGACGAATCTCCAGCTCGATGGTGTTTCGCTTGCGATTGAACACCGAGGACAGGGAGAACTTGGCATGCCCACCAGTGCGCACGGTTTGATCCATAAAGACGGACATGTCCTTGCCGGTCACCGTGAAGATGGCTTTGATGAAGATATTGGTGGAGATGAGCAACTGGGACCAGAGGCCGGCACCGATTTTGGTCGAGGCTGCATTTGTGGCCAGTGCCAGCTGCTTGTTGAAAACTTGTATTAGCAGCTGCTGGCCAATGCGATGCTCTAACATTCGAATGACCAGATGAGCCTTGCGCCGCATGGCCTCCACATATTTGGGCGACACCGTGTGCAGACTCTTGATGGGAAAGTAGTGGACAATTTCCTGCTGCTTGCTGGCAGCTGCCGAGGGATTTGTACTCGACACGGGCAATGGGGCGGGCGGCTGACTGCAGTCGAGAATGATGCCGCCGTACTTCTCCTCGTACTTAACCACACGGGCCAGCTCCGTTTGCACCCACTCGCGGTACTCGTTGTTGCCAAAGCATTTGCGCGAGTACAGGCCACAGAGATACTCGGCTATACCCTTCGCCAGCCAGGTGTCCGACCAATGGTGCGAGGTGATGAAGCAGCCGAAGAACTGCTCGGCCACGGCGCGGGACATAAATGTGCGGGTGATGTACGTCTGGTCAATGATGGCTATGGAGTGCAGGAGATTGACCGAGACTATGCTGAGCGTCGCATAGGCACTGATGTCCGTGTCAAGCTCGTCTACAAACACCTGTTTGTAGCAGGAGAAGGGATAGCGCGTGGAAAGGGTCTCCTCGAAGAACTCGAATGCCTCGTGCAAGTAGCGCACCGTGTTCTTCAGCAGTGGCAGCATTCCGGGCAGGCAGAAGTGCGTCACCTCGTGCATGTGTGGATCGACATAGATCTCGAAGGGGCCCACTGCCAAGGCAATGTTGGGAGCACACACGGGCGTTGTCACCGAATAATGAAATGTTTTCCTACGCAAATCTGGCGTCATTTGGACCTCAATCAGCTCTCCGCACGACACAGCCGTCAGATTCTTATCTACCGTAAACTCCAGCTTCCAAGTGCACGGATCTGCGAAGCTGTCCACGCAGGGAAACCACAACCGACTGGAGTTCTCATAGCAATTGGTGAACATGTGTGAGCAGTTGAGCAACTTTTCATCGTCCTTGTCCGCTTGAGGAATGACAAAGTGCACGCCGCTCTTCGGGTCCTCCAACGAGAACTCAATGCTTATGCGCAGCCCGCGTCCCTCTTGTATCAGGGAGAAGCCATCCGGCGGCACTTCAATCATCAGCTCGCCATTGTTTACATCCGGATCGGTAAGCTGGGCTGCTTGTAAATGTTTTACGCGGTAGTCCTCAAGCGATCGTGTCTTTTGATCGTCCTTGCAAATTTTTATGAAGGGGTCAAAGTATACGAACGTCGCGGGACACACATCGTTGAGGACGACACTGTAAATCCTCATTTGCTTCGCATTTAGTCGAATGAGACGCAGGCTATCGCAGTTCGGCACTATGGTAAGCTCTACCATGCCCTAGGGGTGTATTTCTCTATTAAATATTGTTTTTAAATGCAAGTGTTATTCTTACCATTAGGTTGCGCCTCTCAAAACTGATGCCCGTGAAGCTCACAAGCTGATGCGCCGTGCTGCGGTAGAGAGAAAAAAAAATTAATTACTGATTATGTACAAAGCTGGAAGGGTACTTATAATTTGAATGGCCGCAGCGGTGCCTCAGGCACCTCAGGCTGCAAATCCATCGCAGAATCGCCGCTTGTTGCAGACAAATACAAAAATATTTCGTTTGTTGTTAAAAACACGGCATTCTCTGCATCAGTGTGACTGCGGAATTATCCATAAAATATGCCGATTGACCGTCGGAAATATACAGAAATATACCCTTGCATTTTCGAAATATACTGTAATATACCGAACATCTCAAATTATTTTTCTCGATTTTGATGTTCTATTTGATATTACTAGCTAGCTAGGAGTCTCCGGGCTAAAACTATACTTTTATCCGATCTATCAATCAATTCTCCACAAGATTGGCTGGTTTGCGAGACTTTTTGTTGTTGTTTGGTTGTTTTCAACTACTGGCCACTCTACTACGCAGCCCTGTAGATGCAGTTAACCCTTAGATTGTGTCAAGTATTCAATTTACCGGGTTACTAAGCGTCAACTTGTTTGATTAAATTTATTTAACAAAAAAACCTCCTTTTTGGAACTAAAAATGCACCCAAAAGCTATTTTGTATTGGTTTTACTATGCTATTATAACTTTGCTTTACACAAATGGGTATGTGGCACGAAATTAGCAATTGCGCGTGCAAAAAAAATCCGATCACACTAGGGTTAAAGATTATGAATCATTTACCGAGAAAGTTAAATTTGGATATACCCCTTAAAAGCGTACATTTCCCAACCGAGTCAGCAGTTTTAGTTAGACGACGAGTTGTTAAACATCTGGGAGAACTTATTTAAAGGCTGCTAAGAGTGCTACTCATTAAGAAAAGCCAAAGTTGAATCCAGTGAAAATGTACGGCATTGATAATTACCCCAAGAATTATCATGCCAGCGGCATTGGCCTTGTCAATTTGGCGGCCTTGGGCTACAGCAAAAATGAAGTCAGCGGAGGAGGCGCGGATACAACAAAGAAGGCAGGGCTCTACCCTTCGCTGCCATACCCATCATCGGAGAGCGTGGGTGGCATGCCATATGTGGTAAAGCAGCAGGCAATTCACTCACAGAATGCCTCCTACCCGGGCATGGGCGTGGCAACGAGCATGCCGATGCCTGGATACCCAAGTGCCGCCCCATACTCAGGTGGCGGCGGTTTGTATCCCAGTTTGCCGTCTGCCTCGTCATCGTTGCCGTATCCATCTGCACCAATGGCACCCATGACACCATCATTTTACCCAAGCATGCCACAGCCTGGACTTCCGTATCCATCCGCTCCACTGGCCCCGATGCCTGCTGCATTTCCCAGTATGCCAATGCCGTACGCTCCCTTGCCAATGAGCCCAGCTCCTCAGCAGGCAATGGGTTTCCCGTCTTTGCCCTATCCGACGGCGCCGCCACCAGCCAGTGCGCCCACACAAGAGGAGGAGCCGTCTGTGGGAATTGCAGAGCTGAGCTTCACCAGCGTCAAGGTGCCTGAGAATCAGAACATGTTCTGGATGGGCCGCAAGGCCACCAGCACCCGCCAGACGAGCATACGAGGCGATGACTTTGCCTCGCTCCGCGACTCATGTGTTGGCAGTGGTACGCTGTTTGAGGATCCCGACTTTCCGGCCAACAATGCCTCCTTGATGTTCTCCAAGCGTCCAGATCGATACATTGAATGGCGTCGCCCTGCCGAGATTGTCGACGATCCCCAGTTCTTTGTGGAGGGCTACTCACGCTTCGATGTGCAGCAGGGCGAGCTTGGGGACTGCTGGCTCTTGGCCGCTGCTGCGAATCTCACGCAGGACTCCACGTTGTTCTTCCGCGTCATCCCACCGGACCAGGACTTCCAGGAGAACTATGCCGGCATATTCCACTTCAAGTTCTGGCAGTACGGCAAATGGGTGGAGGTGGTCATCGATGATCGCTTGCCCACCTACAACGGCGAGCTGATTTACATGCACTCCACGGAGAGGAACGAGTTCTGGAGTGCCCTGCTGGAGAAGGCCTACGCCAAGCTGCATGGCTCCTACGAGGCCCTCAAGGGTAACGTTTAATCAAAGAACTTCCCATTTTAAGTATTTATTTTTATCCAAACGATTTGTTTCTAGGCGGCACCACTTGCGAGGCAATGGAGGACTTCACTGGCGGTGTAACTGAGTGGTATGACATCAAGGAGGCTCCACCAAATCTATTCAGCATCATGATGAAGGCTGCCGAACGCGGATCAATGATGGGCTGCTCCCTGGAACCGGATCCGCATGTCCTGGAGGCCGAGACACGCGAGGGTCTGATTCGTGGACACGCTTACTCCATCACCAAGGTGTGCCTCATGGATATATCGACGCCGAATCGCCAGGGCAAGCTTCCAATGATCCGCATGAGAAATCCCTGGGGCAACGACGCCGAGTGGAGCGGCCCGTGGAGTGACAGTTCGCCCGAGTGGCGTTTCATACCCGAGCACACAAAGGATGAGATTGGCTTGAACTTCGATCGCGATGGAGAGTTCTGGATGTCCTTCCAGGACTTCCTGAATCATTTCGATCGTGTGGAGATTTGCAACTTAAACCCGGATTCGCTGACCGAGGATCAGCAGAACAGCTCGCGCCGCAAGTGGGAGATGTCAATGTTTGAGGGTGAATGGACCTCGGGCGTCACGGCCGGCGGCTGCCGCAACTTCTTGGAGACCTTCTGGCACAATCCACAGTATGTCATCTCTCTGGAGGATCCCGACGATGAGGATGACGACGGCAAGTGCACAGTCATTGTGGCTCTGATGCAGAAAAATCGTCGCAGCAAGCGCAACGTGGGCATCGATTGCCTCACAATTGGCTTTGCCATCTACCATCTGACGGACCGTGACCTACAGGTGAAGCCGCAGAGCCTCAACTTCTTCAAGTATCGCGCCTCCGTGGCACGTTCGCCACATTTCATCAACACGCGAGAGGTGTGCGCACGTTTCAAGCTGCCGCCTGGACACTATCTGATCGTGCCCTCCACCTTTGACCCCAACGAGGAGGGAGAGTTTATCATTCGAGTCTTCTCCGAGACAATGAACAACATGGAGGAGAACGACGATGAGGTCGGCTTTGGCGAGACAGACTATCGTATTGCTCCCGCCTTGCCGCCGCCCACGCCCAAGGAAGAGGATGATCCGCAGCGCATTGCCCTGCGACGACTCTTCGACAGCGTGGCCGGCAGCGACGAGGAGGTGGACTGGCAGGAGCTAAAGCGCATTCTGGACCACTCGATGCGAGATGTTATGGTTGGCACTGATGGCTTCTCCAAGGATGCCGTGCGTTCAATGGTAGCCATGCTGGACAAGGATCGCTCCGGCCGTCTGGGCTTCGATGAGTTCGAGGCTCTGCTGACGGACATTGCCAAGTGGCGTGCCGTCTTCAAGCTGTACGACACTCGCCGCACCGGCAGCATCGATGGCTTCCATTTGCGCGGAGCTCTCAATTCGGCTGGCTATCATCTGAACAATCGGCTACTCAATGCCTTGGCGCATCGCTACGGCTCGCGGGAGGGACAGATACCGTTCGATGACTTCCTGATGTGTGCCATCAAAGTGAGAACCTTTATCGAGATGTTCCGCGAACGGGACACTGACAATTCGGACACCGCCTTCTTCAACCTGGACGATTGGCTCGAGCGCACCATATACTCATAGACGAAAGGTGGGGCAGGGCCACAATCGTTGCAATTACAATCGCTTTCAATTGATACTAATCTAATCCTAAGTGCCACATTTACTTAATACACATTCTAAACATGATGCAAATCTGGAGAACATAGAAAACCATGACGCCACTTGTACAGCCTGCAGATTGAGATACAGTCACCCGCTATGCCAACAAATGTATCTTATCAAAACGGCAAAAACCGGAAATAATGTGCGGTAATTGAAGTGACCTTGGAACAGCTCGATACACACGATAAACGCCACAAAACCGAAACCGCCAAATGGTGCTTTGTATACACCACATGCAGTCGTTTATATACTCAAAAGCTATATACATTAGATGCGCCATAGAGTGATTTTATGGCGGCTGCTGGAGGTATGACTAAGAGTGCAAATATCAAAAGTTCTTCTACGCATTTTATGCACCTCGTTAAGAGCCGGAAATTACCCAGTACAAACTGAAACTGAAATGTGCATTACTAATATACCATTACGAGATGCTCGTACAGCCATCATATATCAACTATAATTAAGTCAATATTTACTGCATATATGTACAATAGTATCCATATGCATATACATATATTTTTTGAATATCATTGTAATCTCCGAACCGACAAGCGCCGTGTTTGTTCAGGTGATAAACTGAAACCGAACAGAGCTCCCTTGCTGTTACTACTTGTACTGGAAGTTATTACTCATCGAATCATGGTTATCTTTAAGAGAATCAGCAGACCTGGGGACCCCAGTATCGTTCAATTTATTCAATTAAATAATTCACCAGACCAGTTTTATTAATGATCCCGATTAGAAATCTCGCAATGTCAAAACTATTTGTAATTATTTTTTATTTGTTTAATATTTCTAAAAAAACTTGAAAAGAGGCTTACTATGCACTTTGCGAACAAACTAACGAAAATATTTCCCATAAATATTGTTTATAATCTTATTGTTACTGTCTGTAAATGATATTGTTGTATGCTGATGTTTTTTATATAAAATAAACTGCTGATTTGCTAGTACAACTACTTGACTATGACGATGTCGGTGGCACCGCTGGGAGGACCCGCTTCGATCATTATCTGCTTAAATTCATCCAAGATTAAGTTATTATCGACCACCAATTGCGTAATCAGCTCAAGAAAGTCTTCATATCCCAAGCGCCACTTTCTAAGGAAAAAAAATGCTTTCAATGAATGGCAGTACTGTGTGGGGTATTCGTACTTATAGCGCATGTAAAGGAGTCCAGTTTGGGTACGTGCTATGGGGTTAGGCATTAGCTTGGCCTGCTCCAGCCAGGCATCAATTTGCGAGAGAAGAATGCAGTCAAACTGCTCGTTCTCAAGCTCCGTAGGGTTAGCCTGCGGGGGGCGCAAGAACAATTTAAGTATAATCGAAGACACAAGAAACTGGGGGAGTACCTTGTAGTTGCAGTACACCATAAAAAGCGAGTCCAGGGTATGCTTCTTGGGTTTATCATCGTCATCAGCCATGGTTAAATTTGGGGGAGCAAACGAATTATAATTACGATTGTAAGAGTATATTTATGACAGATTTTGTTTTCTTCCAAGCAGATAACGAAGTTTCCATGTGGGTGTACTAGATTCTCATTTTATTTGTTTTGTTGATAAACAACGCTGCAGCGAGTGTGTGTGTACTTTTGTTTCTATGGGAATGTCTGTTTAATGTTGCTTGTTCAGAAACTTCTGCACAATCCACTGGACATAGTGCTTAAGTTTGGTAGCCTCCTGCGGGCCATTGACATTGGCCACCCCATAGGGTGGTTCAATGATCACCTGCTCCATCACCAATATGGAGATTATATTCTCCTTTTCAAGCCAATACACCTGAGAGTCACCCAAATAAAAGGCAATTTGGCGAAACAGCGCCTGACCCATTGGCGAAACTTTCGGTTTGAAGTTTAGAAGGTGCTTGGCCCTCTGCTCGATGCTGTTATGCAGACGCTTCTCCAGCTGTTAGAGGATATGGAGGATATTTGCGTTAGGAGGGTCAGATAGATAACATTTTTCCAAATACCTTCGGTAAGTCGGGTGGCGCAGGTGTTATAATACTATGCGACAGCTCGACCTCCTTAACGATCTCCACATCCAAGCAAAAGTTTAGATTCACGATGTTTATGTCGGAGAGCCCCCGCTTGTTGGGTACTTTTATCAATAGCATTTTGGTGCCAGCATCAAAGGCCACAACCTCAAAGAAGCGATTGTTAAGTTAATTAATTAAAATAATTAGCTAGCGACTTACCTCGCCCAATATTTCCTCGTCGAAGCAAATCGTGCAGCGGACAGTGGATCCCACAGTAAAGCATGAAAGCAGAGGACGCTTTTCCTCTGCATTTGAGCCTTGAATTGCATTGAACGGTGCGCGGCGTGTAAACATTATTTTTTCCATTTTCTACAGTCGCTGTCACAGCTTGAGATTCGGATTGAAATTGAGCTTGAGATTCGGATTGAAAATTGATAATCAAAGTCGCTCTAATTTTGAAAGTAAATCCCTACGGTTGCTATGATCTGTCCTTTCGCATACGAATTCAATTTATGTTTCTTTTTATGTGTTTTATTTCATTTTATTTACAGTGTATGTACGCTAATTAATAATGTACTAAATATAAATGTTGTATATATATATAATATATTTTGTATTATATATATATATATTTATTTGTTTTTTTTTGTTTCAAAAGTAAACCGTTCATTTTTATCATATAATCGCATATATTTTCTCGCAGTTTAGCATTTTGCTGTCTAAATTGTTGTTGCTGCACGTTGCGTTGCTTGTTCTTTGTGTTTTTTGTATTTTCAAGAAGATTTATGTTTCGTTTATTATAATTATAATTATGTATGTATATAAATGTGGGCGTGTGTGGGTGTATGTACCTTCATTAGCAGTATCTTTAATGCCTAAAAACAAACAAAAAAGAACTCTTTGCTTCCGAGAAAAAGTGCATTTGATTAAATTCTTAGCAGAAGAGGAGGCCACAAAATAGATCAAAGCGCTTCGTGTGTTTTATGAGTTCTAGCGAATAAATACCGAAACAAGTAATTGCTGGGGGGACACGCACAAAACAAGAAACACAAATTTACAATCAATTAACACAACTGTACACCAAAGAAAACGAATGAGAAGTTTTACTAAAAGCGAAGTAGCACTTTAAAAACTGAGTACCGAGAACTTTAAAAATTTGAGATATAAGATTTTAAAATATTTTTTGTGTGTGTGTTTCCCAATGATCTACTAACTAATGACTGCCTATAGTTCTCTTTGTGGGTTTTCCCCTTTTAGCACTTGACTTTTACTTTGGAAATATTTCGCTTTTACTATATATTCAATAGTTTTTTGTTAGTTACGCGTCCTAATGTCCTAAATATGCTTTTGGAAATCACATTATATTTTTCTGGCTGATTTCTTCTTCTCAGATAATTTAGCTAGCTGTTCATTATATTTGTTCAACATTATGACTCCTTTTGGGGCTGGGAAAGTGAAGTGCTCCTCCTGGTGAAATGTTCATTGTTTCGTCTGCTATGGGCTGCTTGTTTGTTTGTTTAGATTGCGGGTTACATTTAATATCAAAAGGAATGATATATATGCATAATATATATATGTGTATATACATATATAAAAATAAAACAATGCACTTTTGTTCTTTCACCGCAAACGCGACTCTTACATGGGCCCATCAATGGCGCTCACTTTAAGGCGGAAATAGTACGCGGATCGGGCCAACATGCTCGCCGCGATTACAAACAATGCCACATAGAGAATATACATGCCGCCGTGAGCCTGTCAACAAACAGAGGTTTATGTTTGAGTAAAGGGTCGCCAGACCTAAATTCTAGGCACTGATTTTCTTACCGATGCATACGAGATTGTGCCGATGGTCACGGCAATGCCCGCCACAAGGAACAGCAGCGCCACAATGGCAAACATAAGGCCGCGGCTGTTGGCGAAGCGCGAACCCACCGAGGAGACCTTTCTGCAATGTGGACAGCGGGCCAGGGCATTGTGATAGGTGTTGAACTGCAGGTAAACAAAATTATATAAATTACTCTCTGATGTGGGAGATATTATTACTGCTGTCAGCTTACCAAAAACGTGTCCGAACAGTGACCACAGATGACACGACACATGCCCGGCATGGTTGGCACGGGTGGGGTGACGGGACTTGGGGCCAAATTAATGATTCGCTTGCAATTGGGTCGTGGACAAGCGATGCGCTGCGACGAGCTCTTGCAGATTAACAGGCAATTGCATGGGCAACGTACGTACTTCTTGCCCGGCGGAGCATTCCTAATGGGCTGTGTTCGATGGGGTAAGCGATTATCTCTTGGGCAATTCATTAGCTAATTATTGGACACTTACAGTTGCCTCATTGCAATGGGTGCACTTGACCACATGCTGCTCCCTCTTCGCGGTGATGTCAATCATGTGCTGACACACCCGACAGGTGACCATTGGCACACCTCCAGTGTTGCTGCTCTGCTGATAGGGTGGTGGCAGCTCATCTGGTCCAATACAAGGCACTGCCGTCGGTGCCCCATTGCCTGCGAATCAACCGAAACCAAAGAGATCAAAAAATTAACATTTATATATGTATATGTATGTACTCGTACAGTGCCTAGACCTTTTGTGTAAAATAAATACATCTCGCCAGCAGAGGCTTACAGGCTAAACTGCTGCATTTTCAGCTTACATTGCAGTCATCCGCAGTCCTCGCCTCACAGCAAGAGATAGAGAAAGAGGACTGGTCTTCCGATAGTGTGTAGGTTGAAGAAGATGAGACGCGATGCGATAGAGACAAATGGGTCAATGTTTTGGAGCTATGAATGCAAAGTTCCTGTTCGCACTAACTAGCCCATCCTAGACTACATTTACTGGCTCTTGGATGAGCCATTGGGCGGCACAAACAAGTTCGAACTTTGTGCAAAACGAGAAACTAAATAAATCAGTGTACAATTATGAATTCCCTTTTTCACTGGCCTGTCCTATGGATAGCAGTCGTAATTGAACTCGTTTAAAGAGTATGCAACAGAGAGTCGAGTCTTGAATGATATGAGAGAATGATCAGGCTCTTTCGTACAGCACACAATGGAACTGCTGCAGGTCTCTGTGTCTCTTCTTTCTTGCTGTGCCCAGCGATAAAGGCAGCGAACAAGCTACGATGAGTCATACCGAATCGATGCTGATTAAACAGCTGTAGAGAAACGTTTTGCTGCGTTCTGCAGATACGGGAGCATAAACAAGAACAAAAGTAATGGCTGCGATTTGGCGTCGTGTTACTAACAAATGAAGTGCCCTGCGCTACCACGGTACCAACGCCCACGCCCACGTCTACGTTTATAGACACGGTGTGCTTAGGGCCATGACTAAGTTGGGGGAAGTGTGAAAATCTATGAAATGCAAGACTGGCTGGCTTCTGCGACAACTTTAAATCACAGTTGCGGATAAGTAGAGCGCACACTTGTTGGGTTTCAAATGCAAAGCGGAGCACACAGAGGCACCGGCACGTACACTTACAGCGACGCTACACTCACACCAATAGACCCGCATAGGGCATCAATACAATTACATGCGGGATGCCGGGAGGGGATTTTACACCAAGTTGAATGTACTTCCCGGCTCTAGCCAGGGTCAATAATCAGTTGTACGCACCATCCTCATTTGGGGCTGCGGCTGTGCTGCTGCCAGGATTCTCGGCACCCTCGTCGACGGCAGCTGACGACGTGTACATGATCGAATCATCATTGTTGATCAAGCTCTGCCTTTCGGGGTCGGCCATGCTGGATTATCGAGATGCCTGAAGGTACACTTTTTTTCGTGTGACAAGAACAACTCCCGTTACTGCTGGACACAAATTGCCGTTCTCGTTGTTGTTGTATTTGTTGTTGCTGCCTATTTTCTGCAACGCAACGCCACAACTGGAAAAAGACAAGAAACACGGCTTATTAATGTATCACATATCACACAAGTTCTCCGAACGCGGCCAATAAATGTATCCCAGTCCCAAAGTGCAGTGCAAAATTTGTCTTTGTTTCATTGCAGTCACTTGTTTTTCGTTTTCCTCGGTTTTACACTAGTTTTCTGTTGAATATCCTCCCTCTTCGGCATGCGTCGCAATAATCAATTGTCTGATGCCTTTATTGCACTGCCAACATTGGTCGGCTGCAACGATTACATTTGCTGTAGTCGAAAGTCCATTAATTTGTCCAATTGTTTCATTATTTTTGGCCATATTTCTGCTATATTTTACCTTATTTTGTTGAAAATGCACTTCTTTCGACTCGATCTGGCTACACTTATTTTTGTTTGATCTGGTCACGCTCACGCTTCAGGGGTGCAACACTAATTTTATTTTTGCAGCCCTGGCGCACACACAGCGTTCATCAGAATTCTGAATTAATTACAATCAATTTACAATTGCCTAACAAAAAAGAGATACTACCAGATAGTAATCCATAATACCCAGAATGCATAGCTGTATGGAAGGTAAATGCACCAATAAATAAACTAGTTCGGCGGTTCATGAACTCAGAGTGGAACCAAAACAATTCAGGCTGCAGCACGTTGATAACTCAAATGGCCGAAAATAATAATAAATCAGAATGTATCCAGCCCAAAGACACAATAACTCTTAATGAAACAGTGAATAGCAGCAGCGACGAGGCCAGCAGCAGTTCCGGTGACATCGAAAATAGTAGGTACGGGAAACTACGTCGCAGATCAGTACGCAGCTTTTCCTACCACTTCCAATCTCTTCCCATGCGTGTTGTGGGAGATACGTCTGCTTCCATACCTGGACATTCAAGCTCTGCCCGGGATGTAACGTTAAGCTCCGCTCACATCATCGAAGACAGCTCGGAATCGGATTTCCACATATCCAATGACACGAGCAACGACGAGCCGCCGAGTAAGCCGATCGCATTTGTTGGTCGGTCCCTGCGGAAAACTGATGTGGACTTTATCAAAAAGGAAAATAAACGTAAAAAACGACCAAAAAAGAAAATATGTAAAGAATAAGCAGATCCACATTTGAAACTCAACTGTGAGCGCAGGGCTGGCCAACCTGGTGCGCCTTACGTTTTACAACACTGCTTCAAAACCAGGGTTGGTTGGTGCATTTTGGAGTAGTGGTCAATTTTTACGAGCATAACTATTTACACGATTTTATGTAAATAAAACAAATTAAACGTAGGAAAATTAAGTGCAAAGTGTAAGTAAAGCCTCTTCGCTGGCGTAGAATATAAGATATCGTGAAATGCTTTCCGAACAACGGCTTAGATGGCCTCTCAAAATCTGTGATGATTTCATTTTCACACAGCGCGTTGTTGTATTGGAAACTTCGTCGTAGCTTGCTTGCTGATGCTGTTGCTATTGTTGTTGCTGTTGTACCCACGGCTGCTGCTACTGCTGGGCGCCGACGTCAACAGACCCAGCAGCGACGTACAAAATGTTTGTTTAGTGGAGGGCTAAGCAAAGCAGCTTGGTTCGTGCGTTTATCTGCCTGCCATTTAGGGCACCAGCCAACAACTAAAACAGCACCAACACCGCGGTAGCGAAAACGCCAAGAACACCTGTTCCTAATTGATTTTTCACATTTTCCCCAATTGCCTACAGATCATTTCATACGACTTCAAATTCAACAACTGTGTTTTGGCATTTTTAATCAGAGAAATTAAAAAGGATTCAGCTGCAAGACATGTTCACCTCTTAGACCAACCATAGCCCTAGTATTGATTAGAAATTCTAAGTAAAAAGTATTCAAACGAACGAATTTGCAAGCCGAATTTGGCCACCGACAAGTACACACCACAGAATCCGCAGACAAATCAGCAGTTATGGACGTCCCTCCAATGTTCAACAGCGTCGAGGATGAGTGCAGATATTGGAAAGAGCGCTCCAAGCAATACCACAAAGAGTATGTACACAAAAAAATGGTCCCCGCCACATTAATCAATTGCATGTTCGCCGATTGCAGATGGACAGACGTGAAACAGGAGTACGATGAGTTTGTCGAACAGTCACGAGAAATGGAAATAGAAATGGACGCCACTCTGGAGCAAAAACAGAGTATTATCAAAGATCTCAGAGCCAGGCTTAACATGTTTGAGAAAGAAAACGATTCCCTTAAGGTAAGTATAGCACAAAGCATACCGAATACTGTAGCTAGTAGACGCTGTCACCTTTAATAATAATGTAATCTTCCTGCAGCTCAAGCTGGACTCACACTGCATTGATATGTCCAATATGGAAAAGCAGTTGGATACAGTGAAAAAGGAGCGCGACTCCATGAAGGTATACCTGCGGCAACTGGAGCAGAAGAACGACGATCTGGAGCGTGCCCACCGCATTCTCAACGAGAGCATAGAGAACTTTGAAAAGATGCTGGATCAAGCATACGAGAAGAATGCTCTCCTCGAGTTGGAGGTGGACGAAAAGGGCCTGCTGCAGGAGAAGCTGCAACGGCTAATGGATGAGACGAGAGGTGAGTCAGTCAGCCACACTACAGGCTCTGGACTACATTATCCATCTGTTACAGATCTCAAACAAGAGCTCAATGTGAAGACACGCTACACGCCAACGAATGGCACCAGCAACCCCACAGCAGTATGCACCACCGCTGCCAACAGCTCCATGAACTCATCCGCCTCTTTACCTAATGGCATTCTGGCCAACGGCGATTTGACGCCGCCACACATCGACAACACCATTGCTACAAAAGTCACCAGCGTCAGCGTCAGTGCTCTCAACGGCAGTTTAGCTAATAAAAACGAATATAATCAGCAACATTCGCTTAAAAGTAAGATCCTCCATTCGCTTAGGCAAACCAAACGCGTCTTTAAGCTATCCAAAACGAGTCGCCAATTTAAGCTTATCAAATAGTTTTGCTTTCCATATTTGCATTTAATTGTGATTATCGTTTTACGTTCCATTTAATTGTAATTCTCGTGATTTATTTGTAATTTTTAACCAGTCGTACACAAAAACACATTTTGTTTATTTCGTTAGCACGCTTAAGTTCCTTATTTTATTTGTAATTGTATAGTAAATAATTAAAATTAAGAGTCGAATCGAATGTAACGAAATTTTGCGACATTTCTAGTAGGCAAATTGTGCGTTTTGTGTGCGTCTGTAGCTTCTAGTTGACCAACAAACTAACCGCTGTGTATAATCTTACCCTATACAAACTCTTAACTAACCTGCTGTGTATGTGTGCTTCCTCTTGCAGATCCCGAGAACCTTATCAATGGCAATTCCATGAATGCCAGCTCCCGCACAACGGCGCTCAACATTGTGGCCGACATGTTAAGAAAACTAAACGTAAGTCCCTCCATAAAACCAACAACCAATACTTCTAACTGCCATCAACCACCTTCACACATCACACACTATTATAGCATGCCCTTTAGAGTCTTCTCCACGTTCTGTTCTTTTTTCTTTCCTTTGCTTCCTCGCATCTGCACTCTCTTTCCCCGCCCAGTTTAAATGTTTTTCCATATGTTTTTAGTGGGATAAGGCCTTGTTATGTCCTGAATGCGAAAAGTTTCGCTGCATTTGCGAGCGTCCGTCCACGCTCCAGTCACCGCAGTCGCCGCCATCGGCCAGCGACTCGAGCCTGTTTCGTCGCGCCTTTGGCGGCAGCAGCGGCTCCGTTGTGACAAGCGCCCAGACCACGCCCGTCAGCGATGGTGGCTGTTCGAGCAGCAGCTCTAGCAGCCTGAACCTAGGCACAAACATTTTTAAGCGCTTTGCCGAACGCATACGCAACACCCAGGACGCAGAGCTACCGCTCTGACATTGCTCATCGAATTTAAGGCTATTTTTAAGTGCTCACCGCTTGCATTTATTAATTGCTTTGGTTAATAAATACAAACCTATTTTTGTACCTTACGGACACGCTTTTATTTTGTTGTTAGTTTGTTGATTGTCCCATATTTGGCTAACACTCTGCCCATTCTGTTGTCTTGCAGGCGATGGAGACGAAGCTGAAGACATATCGCGAGCATGCGCCACCCATGCAGCCGCGCCAAAGATCCTCACAGCAGCCGAATCATCCGGGAATGGCTGGTCTGGCCTGCCTCTCGCTAGATGCGGAATAATCCCAGCCACCAATCACCATTACTATCACCATCCACCTCCAGTCCAGACTTTAGTGGGGGACATATTGTTCAGTTGGCTTTACGTTTACGTTACGTTAATGTTATCGTTGGCAAATAATTTCTACCCGCTGCCGCCGCTTCGTTTACTATAATTTATTTCACATAACTTGACATGTAAAAATTCGAAATTACACAACAGTTGATTGTTGTCTTTTCAAGCCCAACAAAACCTATAGAATGCCTTAGTACGAATTAAGAGTAAACAGTATACTTAAGCTAGGTCCGGCTCGGTTCGGTTCGGTTCGGTTCCCTCTTTGAGTTGGTGTTCCGCGCGAAGGCATACAATGTGTTTAGATAATAAGATGATGAAAGATGAATGGTATCCCCACAGGCCCACGAAGACGAAGAAGCTCTGTCCAAGTATTATGCTTCATGTGGACAGCGATAACACAAAAACAGAAAACCCCCAAACAACAAATACTCGTAGCGTTTAGGAAAAAAGACAAACTGCAAAAACCCCTTCTGACTAGACACGGCTCCCCGTTGCTTGTCGCAACCCGGCCGGATGCTTCTGGCGCCTGGCTGTGTCGCCGAAACTTGAATAATCTTATACTATAGTTATATCTATCCCAGAGCAATTTTCTGTTTATATTTACGAGCGAATATAAATGTGTAAAAAAAGGCAACACTCTGTTAAAATCTAATGTATAAAGATAACAATACAAAACCACAAATCCAACGAACATGCTAATGTACACAAATAAAGAGGATTCTAATTAGTTTTAATATAAGCTCCATGGCTGGACCAGATGCATTTCTCCTCCTACGCTTTTCAATGTCAATGTCAACGTCAAAAGTTTTAATTGGCTTGTACCACCATGCCCATGTGTAATAACTAATTAATTTACAAAATATTTGGGTTCATATCGCAAGGCGGACGGTGCGTCAATACCTATGCCAAGGCCAAGCGAATGCGCCCGCCTCCCCCCCCTTCCACAAACGAAAGCTTCTAAAGGAGACAGGCATCCAGAGAGTGAGAGAGAGCTTTTGAAGGGGAAATCACCCACCCA